CGACTCAGAATTTTGTCCTCTTTCTTATGGTGTGGGATTTTACGAAATTTTCTGGCTAACTTTTTCCAAGAACTGCTCCTTTTTTAACCTGATTTTAGCGTCGTTGGAAAGAGCGCAAAACACTGAGTATAGTGGGATCGGTTTGGAATTGCTTAGAAGCTTGCCTTAAAAGTTATACGCATATTAATTTTCGGAAAGGCCATTTTCCGCTAGTTTTTAGCTAATACCGACTTTTCTCACTAAAATGTTGACTTAGAATAGGTTTCCAGCACCGATTCTGAAAGCTGGGATTGCAGCGGTCAAGCCTACTTGGACACTTCTTTCCGTCGAAAAGTTGACACAAATGGCGATAAGTCATTTGGTCTGGTTTCTGGAAAACTGTAGTTTTCTCTACGAAAACTGAACTTTTTGAAACTTTTGATCTGATATCAGGATCAGCGTCAAGCTATATGCTACATATAATAACTGTTCCGTCTAGACCCTAAGCGCTTTTGATGAAACTTTCAGAAAATTTTTACTGATAGTTCGGTTAAATTAACTAGAAAAACATGTTAAAAACCCTTCTTGCAGAGTTACAAGTATTTCAAAACGTCTGCTTTGTCTGAGTTTCCTAAATTTTCGGATTGGTCGCGTTACATGCTTTCTGTAAATCAATGCTACTTAGTTTCGAAATCACCGCGAAAAATGCATCTAATAATATGTTTCGTTGACTTTTTTCGATGATGTCATGTTCAATTTCTTCTAAAGGAGCGATTTTTTATCAGTGACGTGTGAAGAGGTTATAGCAAGCAAGGCTATAACCAAAACGAGGCAAATAGTCCAAAAACGTAGAAAACAGTCAAAAGTTTTTGCTGCCTTCGGTGAGTAGTACCCGATGCTGTGCTAATACTAACAGCAAAACTACCAACGTAAGAAACAACATAAAGCAAACAAAAAGAGCCCATTGGTAACGCTGTTACATTATGTTTTAGTTTGAACACAAGAGAACGAAGAAAGGGAAAAAGTCGAACTGCACACCAAAAGAATCTTCATACGTGGCAGTGCCTTTCCTTAATAAAAGAATGACTTCAGATGAAATCTGTATCAAAAAAATAAAATATATGGCAATAGGTAAAAGAGTGATATAGAAATTGTTGCGATTTCAGAACGATTTTATTTCGGATCTCTATTCGTACAAAATTGATTTTGTGTTTTTCGATAGTTTTAGTTTAGAATACTATAACGAAATATTTTTCCGCGTGTATTCTGGCAAAATAAAGCTTATACAACTGCATTATATATATGATCATCAAGTTTTGATTCAGGAAGGTTAATAGCTTTATTAAAACCCAGAACAAACAACTTCAATTCAAGAACAATTTTATAATTTTTCATGAGATAAATGATTTTCAAACAATCTCTGTAAAGAACAGTGTTTATTCTCATTCTAATTGCAGTGTTTCTTGCAACAACATCGAGAGTATTTGAACATGACATTATTACCCGTATTGTCAAGAAAACAAATTCATTTGTCTATTTTCTATTGTTTTTCTTCAACAACTATTAACTGATTAATTATGCTTAGTTTTTATTAACGTGAAAAAACCAAGAGTTTTGAAAAACCTGCTGTATAGTCCAGTAACATTTCTGCTGATTTCTGCTATCTGTATGCATGCAGTATATATCGAAGAACATTCTGCAAAGTACGAGGTGTTTTGAAGATGGGGGCAAGATGATTGCTCATTATTCTAAATACAGCTTTATGGAAAATAGTTAGTATAGGAAATCATTTTTTTCCTCGGAAGCGTCCAAATGGAGAAATTGCTTCAATGATCGATGGAATAAGGTGGCTAGACTCACAATCTATATCAATTTTATTTTTACTTACTTTTAATTTACGCATAGGGTGAAGTATATGAGACGCTATTTGAATCCGGAAAAGTGCATTTTGAATTTTTTGCCAAAAGTCTGTCTGGATGCCCACTGTGAGGCCCCATTCAAGAGAAAAAATTTTAGATTGAAAGTTTTGAAAAGAAGCAAGGGCTGTTAGATGGGTTAGTCAGTCCTTTAGCTACAGCCAAAGATTAGTTGGCATCGACAATCTGGCAAGTTTTATGAGAAGTAAAGAGTGTCAGACTTTATAAAAATCACTTACTAAATCGAGAAAAATCACAAGACTAGGACAGTTCGACGAATAAAAAATTTTCAGTTTATCCATAAGTGATAGAACAAGAGTTTGCAGACGTAGCTGAGACTGAAAACCTGACTGACTTGATGGTATTAAATCAAGATCTTTTGTCCAGTTATATAATCTTTTGTAATAAATGTTCTCGTAAATCTTAGTTATGCATTCATGATACAGATTAGGTGAAGGTCTTTAACTGCTAGTAATGAGCCGTTGTTCGAATTACAAAAAATTCTCGATAATTTACCACATGGTGGTACACAATGAAGAGAAAAAAGCTGATTTAACCTTTTGACTGCGGGCGACTCAAATATGCGTCACAGTAGTTTCCGGGTAAATTAAATTTTATAAAGTTTTATCTTTAATATTTAAATTAAGTATTTATAAAATTTTTTAATAAACTGTAAATTCGTATTAATTTATGATCAAGTATACAGTAAAACAGAAATTTTAATTTGTTCAAAAAAAACACCCAGCAGCCAAAGGGTTAATAAAACTGTAAATAATGCACAGAAATCAGACGAAAGTCTATTTATTTCAGATGGGCTCTCTGTTTATTTTCGGAAGCTAACCGATTAAATAACACAACAAGTAACGATGAAATTTAATTTCAATTCAAAAATTGTTATTGTACAAGTAGTGCGTGAAATAGTATTTGGATTGACAGTATCACTTGTGCCAAGATTCGTTTGTTTAGCAGTTGTTCCTAACAAAACTCACCTCAATAACAGTTATTACATCGATATTAGTGATTTATTTCAATGTTCTAAAAGTTAACGTACTTCGGAAATAAATGCAGAACAATCAACAACAGAAAAAATAAAAAAACTCGCTCAAATATACATTCAAGAACATCCGATAATTTTTAATATATTTATCTAATGGGCTGATTAGTGGCAATTTGTTAATGATTCCTCTCCATCATCAACACAAACATTAGAAAACAAACAAAATGAACTCGATCAACTGTTGTTAACCTAAAAAAATATTGTCTGTGCCTTACGAGATTTCTGTCTTTTACTTTGACGATTAGATGAGCGATCTATCTATTTAATATTAGAATTTAAGTTATCGCCTAAGACAATGATTATTCCCGCGCTCAACTGTCTCTGTTAACACTTCATATTTTTAATTGGAAGTTTATACATTACTTAGCAAAAATGAGCAAGTGATCAGTTACTTTCTTCAAGATTTTAGATTACTACGTTTGGGCTAGATTTCAATCCTAAAAGTAAAGAAATAATGAAGACGGAAGGTCTATATCTGATCGAGACATAGAGGTCCGCCTCTGATGCTTAAAGGACTTGAAATTTCGAGTTCTTATATAAAATTGAACACATATTTGTTGGCGACTGTACATAAAACTCATATTTATTGGTGCTGTTGGGTTCGTTGATGTTTGATAGTTACAGTACATAATAAGAAACAAATAAGAGACTCTTGAGATGTATAATCAATACCGATGAAGCCATCGCGTTTCAAATCTGAAATAAATATTTAAAATAGTCTTAGAAATTTTCTGAAAGTCGATGTTCTCTTAAGCGCCTTGCCCCCACCGCGTTAGAAACGCGTCTCGATAACCGTAAGTTAGATCTCAACCAAACTTCTCAAATAATGATAGGCGTCAAAAGCCAAGAATTTAAAATAGTCTCACTTGTCTAACTTGCACAAACATATATATCTCTAATCACAAATTTAGGTCGAATATCAAAAATAGGGCTCTATTAGCCTCTACCCAAGACTGTCAGCTTCAATTTAAGACCAGCCCATGCTCTCCATGATGTTTCATTACTAAGAAAGCTTGCAGCTACGAAATGGTGTAAAGTGAACGTAGTTTTCAAAATATGGTGGCGCCAGTGCCTGCTGCATGTTTTAAGGCTTCTAACAAAACTCTCATAACTTTTGATCAGAACGTCATTCGGAGCTGGGAGATATCTCATTTTGATCAGAAATGTTTGCTCTATATCCTAGTATCATAAATCGTTGAAAGTATTTTTAGAGTTGTTTCTTATCAGAAGGTAATGTTCAATGTTTTTCGAAAAGTTAGTGTTTCAAGACTTTCAAAAAACTTTTCTAAACACCTTCGTACCTCTGCGATGAAGATCAAATAACTATGGATCATGACAGTAGATACCGTGGGCTCTCTGCACTTATTGGTGTCTGATGATGTTCTTAGGTAGAACGAAACGTCACATATTGTTTACTTAAATAATAAAATGATTGATGGTCTTATTACTTGTTTAATTTTATTATTTAATCTTATACTATCAAATGAAGTTCATACTATATATCTTTATAAACACTCGCACCCACACCCACATACACTCGCTTAGAGACACACCATATAACAAGCTAATCATAAAAGAACATTAACTATCACGCATGAACCGCAGATATAATAGTGACTCGTATAAAATTAGATGGATACATTATATTTGTAATTCATACTGGTTACTCAAGTGACTGTTTCTTTTCTACTTGTGATGTACAGCTAAAGAAGTAACGGTGAAATGACTAATGATGTAGAGTTTAGTGATTATTATTTCTCTGTATTTTTGATAATTTCTAAAAGTTTATTTTCACGATCCAGTTAATATGCAAAAGAAAAAGACTTCTGACGAAGTGAAGCAGATATTTTAACTAAGACTTTTCAACTTAAACATCAGTTTACATTCAGGTTTATTTAAATATATTTGATCAAAGGAACAGGAACATACTAAACGATTGTAATAATAGAAAAACATGAGTTATTACGTAATCTGTATAGATAATACTGTTCATTTAATTACTGATTGTTAAGTTTTTTTTCCGAATCTATATGCTACTATTCTGATGAAGTTGCGGAATTGAAAATTGTGCTGTAAAAATCACATGACCAAATGAATTTTGAAAAGAGTTATAAAAAATACTTTCTGTGTATATTTTTCCAGGAACATATTGTTGACAATTAGGACATGCATTTATTGGAACTGCACCACTTGAGCTTCTTTTAAATGTACTAAATGATAATATGTCGTCTTTCAAATAACCAGCTTCAAACGTTAATTGCATAGCGCGTGGTTCTCTACAAGTTTCCGGAGCACGAGGTTGAGTATGCCCTCTTTCATTTGGCATACCAGATTGGTCCCATACCTGCTGTTTTGTGATATTCAACTTTTTTTCTATTAATTCAAATCCAAACCTTTTACCGTCTCTAAGATCAGGAACTATACCTTCAATATGCATATGAATATTACCCTTTTGATCGATTACACCATAAACAACTGCATTTTTTTCAGAACCAGAATAAGCAAAAAATTTCTTTCCATCTGCAGTTGTTGTAATACTAATAGCGCCTGCTTTACTTGGCTTTGTAAGTCCCTGAACGTTACCATCGAATAATGGGTCTACTGCTGCAACGATTTCCTTAGCAAATTGTTCGTCAGTTCCATACTTTCCTTTTTCAAAATAGTTCTTAAATTCAATACGTTTCCAAGCTTTTGAAGTATTTTTCATACCCTCTTTGAATGCTTTTGGTAATCCAGGTAGACTAATACCGAATAAAATTCCACTCATGACTGATTCATAAGTTTTAGGTGATGACATATTCCAGTTAGTAAAACTATTATTAGCTGCACTGCCAAATAAATAGGCTGTACCTAAACCAGAAGCAATTGTTCCACATCCAATTAATAGCTGAGCATTCGTAGTTTGAAAAGAACTGACGAATTTTCCTGTATACACAAATCCTAAGGGTACCATAAATCCACCAAAAGCACCTCCCAATCCTGCGAATACTGTTCCTAGACTTAGCTTCCATTGCTTAAAAGAAAAACTATTATTGACTGCTGCACAGCTTAGGTATCCCATGCTTATTGAAAGTCCACCACTACTAATGGTTAATGCCCATTTACCCACAACTCCAAGACTAGTGTAGTATTGGTACCAAGCTCCAACTCCGCCTATGGCACTAGCTCCAAAAATAAATCCTTGAAAACCACTACTCCAAGTCATCGGTCGACTCCATTGCCATTGCATCATATTCCAGTTGTGATTTCCAGTTGCCATTCCCAAATACATACCAGCTACACCGATCAAACTTGTGATAGTGGTAGCTTTAGCAACAGTGAGTCCCATAGCTACTAAAGCGCTAGTTGAAGCTGTAATTCCTATGGGTGCTAATGCACCGGCTAATGCACCACCACCGATCCCTAAATAAGTACTAGCTTTCGTGAGATCCCATTCCCAAGGAAGCCAACTATTGTTTGTCGCACTTCCTCCTAAATAACCTCCAAGCACTCCTAATCCAATCATTAAGAAAGGTAAAAAGGCAATTTCACCACTTGGATCAATCAAGGAAATTGGAGAATTTCCACAATATTTGTAAGGACTAGCATATTGTTCTTGAGGGTCAATTTGATAGAAACGACCAATATCTGGATCATATAATCGTGCATGATAATTATATAAACCTGTTTCTTCGTCCCATTCTTGACCAGTATATCGATAAGAAATTTGTACTTGAGGAATACCATATTGTCGTATTAAATTACCATAAGGAAGATAATCATAAGCGGCTACTATTTCTTGGTTTTTGACAATTAATCGGATAGATCCTTCATGATCACAAATAACACTATAAAACTCATCATTTCTTATGAAACCAATAAGACCTTTAGGACCATAAATATAGCCCGTATATTGTTCAGAATGTTGAGAATCAGTAAAATCAATTACTTTTTCCACTAACGAACGTCCTTCGCCATCACGTAAGTACAAAACTTCCATGAGTTTTTCTCCTTTTCTATTAATGACATGCTTTCGAACTCGTTCACCTTGAACATCATAATCGTAAGAAACTTGACGACCATCTTGTAATTTAATAATTTTAGGTCGATTTGTAGTCGGATCATAGATAATTTCCATGATTCCTTTATGTTCTGCTTTCGTTACATTTCCCAATGCATCATGTATCATTTTAAAACTTGTTTTTGGTTTATCTCTTACCATGGATTTATAATCGATATGTTCAATTTGATTGTTAGTTTTTTTGTATTGCAATTCATAACGTGAATAACCTGTCCAATAATGACGATGATTTCCATTTTCATCAATCCTATAAGCTTCAACATCACAAGACGATTCACCCATTTGACATGAAGAATGTTCTTGAAGTACACCTATAATCTCAGGTATGAATATTTGATAATTCTTAAGTATTTGATAGAATTCTTTTTTAAATAGAGAACATAATTTATTTGCTGAATACAAATAACCTTCATTCGAGAGTATTGTCCAAATATTTTTTGCCGTTTCAGTATAAATACCAATCGATTTTGGTTGTGTATCTGAATCAACTTGTAACCAAATGAAAAAGATTTTTTGAAATTTTTCGAATGTTAAAATTTCTCTTTGTGAAATATATTTTTGTAATATCGTAGCAAGTAGATGATCATAATCAGCATACTGTTTTAAATTCTTTTTAAATGTTTCATAATCAATCCATTTATCTGTATTTACTTTTCCTTGTAAATGTATTCCATCATCGTTATCCGATTGAATGTAAATCTCGTCAATCAATATTTTCCAGATTGATTCTGAATCTTTTGGAGTAATTTTACTTGATTTTTCTTTAAAGCTGGATGGTTGAATAGGTTTTAAACTTTTATCACCTACAATATATTTTGCTTTCACAAGTTCCATATGATTACCATAACTATATTGATGACCATAATCTTGAGTAAAACATTCGTTTAGAAGCTCTGCTAATTTATAAGCAAAAATTCCTCCACATTCACGAGGTAAATATAAAGCAGCCTCTCTCGGCAAAAATGCTTTGATAACACGTCGGTTGTTATCGAGAAAGCCAGCATTTTCCAAGGCTTTTAAGTAATATTCAGCTTGTTTTAGAGTTATAGGCGTTTCAGCTGTTTCGAAACGTTGTCGAAAAGTTTCTGGACTAAATGACAAAATTCGTTTATCACAGTGATCAAACCATTGTGCTTTAAACTGTGTTCTTGCTATAGTACCATCAAAATACCCTCCTTGACCATAACTTCCTTCTGTATAATATATAGTTTCTTTCAAATATGAATTTTGAGTATTTTCTAAATATCCAGGAGAATTATAATCATAATGAGTCGTAAAATTGTTTACAATATGCGTTTCATCAGAAATCTGCCCATGTGCGTCATAAGTGAATTTTATCCATTGTTCTACATTATTAGATGTTCCTATCGCAGTTATACGATTTTGTTTATTACGTGAATAAGCAATGATTAATGGTTGATTTTTAAATAACATCGGATAAGTTATACTGGAGATATATTCTCCAAAATAAGTATAATCAATACGATAAATTTGCCATAAATTATTACTAAATGTCATCATTTCCCTAGTGGATAATTTCCCTTCCTCTAAATAAGTTGAGGACTCTCTCCATATTCCTTCCGATTGGTTTATTACTGAAGTTACTGATTTACTTCTCAAGCTTGCGTTTATCGAACTGTTGTTCTTGATTATTTGCATATAAGGAATTGCTTGAGGTAAGTCGCTATAATTATTAGCAAGATTTTGTAAATCCTCTTGACTTAAACATTCCGTACTATATCCTTGACTAGAAAGATCACCTCGTCTATCATATTGATAATAGACTACTCGGCACGATTTACCATTAATATCATGTTGTAAAATAAATCGTAACAAGTTTTCATGGCTATAAATTAAAATTTGTTTACTTGTATCTGGTGAACGTCTTTCAATAACTTGATCATCTTTGTTATAAGTCATTCTAGTCGCAAAATTATTTTGAAGATTTCGTTGTTGTTCATTAGTTTTCCATTGATTCGTTAACTGTGTATAAGGTATTACTTGACTTAAAGTATCAATGTCGCGATGTGCATGATAAGTAGGTGGTAACACTGTAATAACTCGATTCTCATCATCATATTCATATGTAGTCAACAAATTATTTCCCATGTTTGTATATACATATAATGCTACTTGATTTCCACGTGAACATAATACAGTGATTTGTTTTGTTCCATGTGGTTGAATACAAACTTGTACTGAATAACCTTTTTGACTTGGAAATAGTAAGTTAATAAAGTCTGATTGAACATCACGCGTGTATTTTAAACAACCAATTTCGTTCACTGTAAATAAACGTCCGGGTTGTCCAATAGCACTCTTCTCATTCAATGGATTATCTGCATATCGAACTTCAGAATAACAATAACCTTCATCCTTTGGATTAAATTTGTTGCCTGTACCGATTAATTTGCCAGTTTGCCAAACATTATTATTTTGATGAATATATCCATTTTGAATAAAATCATTTTGGAATGCTAGTAGAGGTTTATCATCATCAACAATAATTTGTGTTGGCTTAATAATTATTGCCTGTCGACCTAAATCATCATATAATGTTTGAGAAACAATAGCTGTTTGAGAATTTTCCAATTGAATAGTCTGTAATTCTTCATCTAAAATTGTTTTATAGACTACATCAATAGCAGGCTTACTAAACAAAACAAGTTGATTGAGAGAAACATTTCCAGTTAAATGTAACGATAAGTAATTAGAATTATCGACATGAACTTTAAATGCTTGATCCAATTGTAATTGACCGTTTATCCACAACCATAATCGATTTCCTTCAGAGATTATCAAATATTCACCATAAGATGGCACTGAACTAATGTTTTTATTGTTAATAATTAAATTTGTTTTGTTTGTATTAAGGCATTCTACTATGATTGAATGCTTATGAAGTTTAATTTCTATTTTAGCGTCAGATTGTACATATAATTGTACATGTAATCCAGCTGAATATTCGTCTAACCATTCGTTTTGTAATATTAAACTATCACCTGATTTTCCTGTATGAATAAGACATCCAGGTGTTCGTTTCCAATTCTTAATCGTATCAATCAACCATCTTTCTTCGAATGAAGTTTTAGAAAACTCTTCATAGAATCCATGTATTGGTTTTATTTTCATTTGGCTTCGTGGTTGTTCACGTGCTAACATACTTCCAAACGATAAGGCCGTACCATGTCTACCATGAATGCTTAACTCATTCAAGTACTTATTCCAATCCGTGACCGCCAAAGGTTCATATTGCTGATTATAAAATACATATTTGATACTTCCATTTCCATCGAGAAGAGAGGTAACTTGATATGTTTGTGGATTATATACACGTGCATAAAATTGTTGATCACGAGGACTAAAACGTATATGATCAATGTCTAAACTGTAATCGTTTGTTGGTTGGATAATTAAATCAATAAGTAAATATTCATGTCCTTGTTTTAAAGATTCACGTTTCTCTTTTGGCAAACATTTGTTAGTAACATCAATAAGCTTTTGAAACTGTGCAGATGTTGCTGTATATAATAAATTTATAGTTTGTTGTGGTTTTATTATTTTCTCTTCATTGGTACGAAATAAAACCAATTCATTATTCGAATTTGCCTTCCAGACGTAAAAACAAATATTATTCAATATAGCTATGGCATCAAAGGTGGAAGTGGTTATTGTCCGTTCCTCTTTTGTATTCATAAGATAAGTTAAGTAATCATGTGTATCAATAACATGTCTTATAAAATCCTTAAAAGTATCTTCTGATTTTGAATAATTCTCTAGTTCCACTTTAATTTGATCAGACACAACTTTTAATTCATTAAGTTGCTGATAATAAACTTTATATTTTGGTTGTTGTTTAATGTGTTCAAGAAGATTTTTGAAGTCTAATTGTTGATTATCTTTTAAACCAATATCTTTATTAATTTGATAAACACATTGATTAACCTTTTCTTGATGTCGTTGATATTTTTCATGAATGTTTTTGTAGCTGGATTTATTCTTCATTATCTCCGGTAATACATCTTGTAAAAAGCCAATCTGTATTTCTGGAGCTACTAAAGAACGCAGTTCAACATTATGTACATTGGCAAGCAATTGTTCAATTGCTGTACTTTTTAAAACACCTAAAGCACTAAAGCCAGGATTTTGTTGATTTTCAACTTTAATTGTATCTTCTTGAAAGAAACAGAGTTTATTATTCACTTTTCTCGAATATATAAGTGTTAAAGTTCCATTAGTTTTAATTTGTGCTAGATCAATATTGATTTCGAAATAACACCATTCACCTCGAGAAATTAATAACTTAGCTGGTAAAAGGCCAATTATATCTTGTTTGTTAGTTTTTATAATAGCTTTAAAATCAACACTTAATGCAGAATTTGTATTTGTACTTCGTATCCAACATGCTGCTTGATAAGAACAATCTTGATTTTTTGGACTGAAAGTTCGATGTATAGAATCATTTTTGTTACGCAATCGTAAATAATATTCTCCTGTTAATGTCCAATCATTTTTTATTAAATTTTGACGTTCATAATTCCATGCTAATGCATTATCTATTTCATATGATTCAAAACCTAGATATGCAGCTTCATCATCTAGAACACTTGCATTGTAAAATTGAGCTATTTCTAAATTTGTTTTATTTATAAATAAAGTTGTCTTTGGATCCGGTAACGATTCAGGTTTTGAATTATTATCTTTAGAATTTCGATCTTTTAATGGAGCAGAAATTTCTTCTTGTTTTGCATTAAAATAACGCCGTTGAACATTATCTGATTCATAATTATCTTCAATCCATCCATGACCAAACTTTTCATCACCGGGAATTGTATCAGTCTTGTGATAAACGATTATATCATTCATAATAGTCGCGGATTTTTCGTGGTAAAAATAACCGGTATGTCGTTTCTCATTTACTATTTCTAAACTACTTTTAACAATAACTGGATCTTGATATGGTTCACAATGTCCAGGATTTGAATAGAATGTAAACGTTTGACTATCTTTTTCTTGTGAAATAGATTGAGAAATAATTAATAATTGCGAATTACTCCATGGTGTTAAATTACCATCTGCTAAATAATAAGTACCATCTAATGTCATTGTTTTCTTCTTAATTGGTAAAATGAAAATACGATTATCACTTGGTTTATAAGCAATATAATTTGGATAACCATTGTAAATATTTTCCCAAGATGTTACATTAAAATCAAAAACATAATCACCAGTCAATTGTCCTTTCGCATCTTGTTTATAAAGTTTAAATGAAGCTTCTTTATTTGCTTTATATAATATATAATCTTTTCCCAGTTTATATACAAATTTATTTCCTTGTACTATATCTTCCTCAATGATTTTTTCTTGCCATTGATATCCGTCAAATAACCACTTTTTATTACTCCATGTTATTTGATTGATATTAAGTTGAGGAAGATATTTAGTTAAATCAACTAATAATATGTCTTTAAAATGTTCAGTTAAAGAGTGACTATCATTTTGTAAATTTTGAGCCATTTCTGTAAACCATTGTCCCGTCTGATTATTATAAATCACAAATCCTTTTACACCTTGAAGGGTAACTTTAATTTCTTGATTATTTAATTCATAGAGACGACGATGTTTAATTTTTTCAATTTCTACTTCTTTAGCTACTTGTTGAGGTTCGAAAACAACTCGAAATTTTCCATTAGATTTTTCATACATTAAACGGTATGTAATTTTATCGCCTTGAATAAATTCTTGTTCTTGAGGTTTTGAAAAAATCTCTTGATAAGATTCTTCTTGTATTATTGTATCAGTTTTTTCAAATCGAATATTGTTATTTGAATCCAACATAAAAATACTTATTATAGATTTTAGTTTACTGTTTTCTTCTTGCCATGAAGATAAACAAATGATATTATTATGAGATTGTAATACTTGTAGTTTTAAATAATCATAAATTTTTTGTGATAATCCTGAAGTTATTTCAAATTTCACAAGCGTTTGTTTGCTTTTTAAAAAATAATTTGGAATATGTCGAAGTAATTTTATTTGCCAATTCTTATTAAAATCTTTATATCCTATCCATAGATGTTGATCATCATAAACAATTACAAGAGATTGATTTGTAGTAAAGAAAATTTCTGAATTTTGTGAAACATTTGAAGGCCTTGATAAAATTTGTTCTTGCCAAACTTGTTGTTCAACATTCCAGTGAATGATGATCAATTGTTGTTGTGGATTGATGATAATTAAATTATTATCAATCCATTGTATTTTGAAAACTGATATTGAATATTGTTTAGGTTCAAGAAGCCATTCGCCACATGAACGACGGTGGTATAGAAATAATGCAAACGTATTGTTGTCGTTTTTCACAATAAATCCAAAATAATCTTGATGAGCAAAAGCTCGATACATACATATTCCTTGAATACTTGGTAAATTAATGAAAGAAGTTTTATTAGTTTGTAATTTCTTAAAATTTAATGTTTTCCCATAGATTTCACTTAAGATTAAATAATTCGGTCCAACTGTAATCTGAGGCTGTTCGCGTAGAACATGCTTTCCTGAGTAAACATCTGAAGAATACCCGATGTGTTTAAGTTTGTTAATATGATAGATGAAATTGACTTTTTCTCCACTAGGCAAATGTATTTGATCTAATTGTGTAGAACTATCACAATCTTTATAAGAAAATTTCAGTATAGGCTCTTGACATGTGTCTTCTAATTGTGACAATGCGACTAAGTGTCGAATTTTATTTTGAAGCTGATATTGAAATTCAATTGTTTGAATATTCACACGGGTAATTATTTCGATATTTTTCAAGTAATGACCGAATGTTGGAGAGAATTGTAAGTTCCCATCTTCATCGCTGAGAATGGGCTCTTGGTATTCTTCTAAGGATTTCTTTTCATAATTGAACTGAATAGTATTATTGCAATTATCTGATATTGATTTAAGATACATAGATTGTGTGAATGATTCATTACCTAATCGACGTTGAACAGTCTCATAATTGTAAGTAATTTTTTCAGCTTCGTATCCTTGAATTTCTTTCAAATGCCATCTTACAGGATATCGTTTTTGATGTTTCGTATCATTTCCTATTCCTAGCCAATTTTCCCAGCCAATCGTCCAAGCAATAGCATCAGTTGTACCGACTTGTTGTTAAACATTACCATATACTCGCTTTTCTCCTTCCGGCGTTTTCATTTCCCAATATTGCTTATCAGAATAATAAGTTATATTCATATCAAAATAATTTTCATTTGACGTAGCAATTCGTATGACTTTGACAATGTTTTTAAAATTTTTATCGTTGATTTTAATTAGGCCATATTCTTCTACTGGTTCGAAGTTGTTAACATCAATATTTTTAATTAAAATTTTTTTTAACTGATTATCTTCCTTATTTCGTACCCATTGGTTATTTTGTACATGATATGCATAATAATCATTGTTTTCTCTTGGCCCAGCTAAAATAACTGCATTTTCTTGAATATTCGGCAAGTTGTTGACGTTTAGACTTTTAATTAAAAACAAACAATAGCTAGCAGCCAACCTGAAATTTTTGATATGAGCAGTTTGTGAGTTTTGACACAATAATGGCATACTACCATGACTTGTTATCCAATAATAACGATGTGTCAGAGGATCAACATTTCCTTGATAATCTACTGCGATATAATCTTCAACAAGATTCCATCCAACTCCCAAAATTGACGCATGCTGATGAACACCTTGATATTGCAGTGATAATTGTATTTTTAAACCGTTCGGTCCTGTACCCAAATTTAGAAAAGGCAAAGTAAAGTCTAACTTGCCGGTATATGTGTTAACAGCAGACAATAATGGTTTAATATCAAGAGTATCTCGTAAAAATGCGATGGATTTTGGTCGAACAATAAATTCGCCTTGTGGTGGAACAAAGGTTGATTTTACTAGTTTTGTTTCTTGATTGTTAGATGAACTGTTTGAAGATGGTGCTAAATTTGACTATGGTGCTAAATTTGACTTTCATTATGCTTTGTAATTAATATAGCTGTTTGAGTTGGACTTCTGTTCGAAGGAATAAACATGAAAGGAATGGCATACTTGTTTTTTAAATTTAATTCATCCGGATTCAAATTAGTTTCCCATTTACGAGTATCCGGATTAAAAGAACATATTGTCAAACCGCGAGGTCCTGTATAAATCAATTGCATGAGACCACTTCCACTGATATCGGCAAATAACAAAGAATCAGAATGTTCCTTATTCCATCCAAATCGTTCTGCCATAGATGTATCATGATTCAAACAATCGAAGCGTTTTTCTTCTTCGACGTATTGATAAACTCTCAAACCATCAGATTGCAATAACACTAAATTAGAAAATTGACTTTTTGTTAGACGGACAAACCACAGTTTGTCTCGTTCTGATCGCCATCCTGAAGCCTTATTACATAGATCAGTTTTGATTAATTCTTTAAGAACAAAGCCTTCGTTTGTCATTTGAAAACCGTAAATAGAAAGTCCTTCGTCATTTTGACGAATAATATTTGTTATGCCAGTTCCTGTAATATCGGCAAATTCAAAATGGTCATCTTTAGCTCGCCATATCGATTGTATGTGTTTGTTCGTATTGCCATCTTCCCATATAGGACGTTCATTTTTCTTAAAACCGTTTGGATTCAATAAATAAAATCGAATACCTAGCTCGATATGTCGAGTAAACAATCCAAGTGGCATATCTGGTCCATAAAAAGAACCCCATTGTAACTGATTATGCTCGTCATACCAACGACTTGAATCGGGAAAAAGAGAATCTTGAGCCAACAGACGTAATTCACGTTTTGATGTATCATACTCAGCAAAGAAGAATCCATTTTGAATTCTGCAGATTAAGATTTCTTTGTTTAATTGCGGTGATTTCCAAAATTGTACAGGATAGCAGGCCTTGTTGAATCCATTTTTATCACAAAAATCTTCCGAATGCATTATTTGTTGCCAAGTAGAGTGTTCTTGTGAATATTAAAAAACTCGTAGCCCATCTTCACAACGTACTGTCAATTGATGATTATTCGAACTAGTTAATTGAGTAATCCAAATCGATTTAGGCTCTCGTAAATTAAGCTTTTCAAGCAAATTAGTCCAAACATCTGTTTGAATTAATTCGAATAGTAAGCGTTGTTGAAAATTTAAAGTAATAGATGAGTTGTTGTCTGTATTTTTGGAAGCAGTGACCTGATGTATCATCGCCTCAATCTAGGTACATTAAATTAAGTTTGTATTTGTTATCCATCACTATTGATCTCAACAAGAAAGTTTTACCACTTCAGAGATAGGAAAGAAAACGATATACTTAACAAAGGTTCTCACTAACCTTATTCGTGTGACTCTGCAGTGTGAACAGTCCTTTATCCTTGATAAAAGAATGATCCCATTTGCTCAAGTTGAAATTGATCCCAGTTGCAATGTATTCGACTGTTCGTCACTTTGGTGCCCAAAAAACTTTGAAAGGGCGAAGTTTCCGGAAAATCCGAGTCGTACATTCTGTTCAGAACTCGATGAGGAATTTTTCTATATATAAATAAGTGGTCTTCGTCGTGGGATGGAAAATGGTCTTAAATGAACTGATCCTTTTCTCCGCTTTTTCTTAAAAATTTAGATACGACTTGGAACTTATCTATTACGACTAGTCCGTACAAATTACTGATCGTGTAACTCAGCATTACGCCCTTTTAGAACTCAGCGTTTTCAGCTTATCTTTCTCACTATGGGATACAGTTTCTGGAATTGATTACACTGATTTTAATGAAGCTGTTACACAAACAGATTTCACGTTGGACAATAACGGCTCTGAAACTAAAATGAAATTAATTGCCGGCTTTCTTGGCGTCTCACAAAATCCAAAGACACTTGCATTGCGTCCGGCTCCGGGCTATATTACGGCAGTAAAAATTTAGTAAACCTTGATCAGGAGATTTCATTGGTTTTTTTTTGTTGAATATTTGTGTTTTTCTAATCTTAAACTAAATAAAGGTTTGGTGATATTCTATTTTCATTTCTATAAAAATGTCTACTGAAAATTATACATTTAACTAGGGAAAGTTATTTCTCGCTCACTGCGTCGAAGCTCAACCTCTCAAGATCAAATGGATATATATCTTGCATCATCGTCTCGTGCAAAATGAAAGGAAGAAGAACCGAAAAAGACAAAGAACGAAGAATAAGTTGCATAAGCCTATTTCCTCTCATTCTTTACATTTTAGTGTTCTGTTGTGTCACACTTTTTCCTTTTTCTTGTTCGATTCACATCAAAAAATGTTTGGCAACTTGTAATACGTGCCGCTTAACTCTTTTCTGCTATCTCACTGTAATGAATGACTCATTTCTAGAAATTTTCCCCCACTATCATCGTATTTAACCACAGAAAACGGAAAGAATAATGTGCGTGTATTTATTTATTTCTTCAGAAGTTGGCTGTTTTAATTCGATTATCTTTCTTTGTTTTTTGTCTGCAGACGTCGTATACGATCAAAAAACATTATTGAAATATTTTTGAAAAAGAAGTTTGTTTACACAATGAGTGGATATGAAGGCAACGATTACTGTCATCGCGGAATAGGTCCTAGTGGCAAGCCTAAATTGCATTTTATTCAATACAACAGTCGCGGTGATGCAGAAGAAGGTGCACGTCGTGGAGGCCAGGGAAAACCAGTGCATCATGCGAATCCAAAAGAAGGAAAGAGTCACTTTCATTCAACAGACAAAGATGGAAACATAATAAAAGACGGTGTTCACCATTGCTACGGCTAAGAAGATGGACCATATTTTCACGGAAAAAGAAAACCTAGTCAAGAAGGTAATACGAGAGTCGTAGACGATTTTTTTCTTTTGTATCTTTTGTTTCTTGTAAGATTTTATTAGATAATAAACTGTTTTTTGATTTGAAAAACTAAAAAGACACTAAACTTGAAGGCTATACGTGGGTAATATTAAAAGAAGGAAGACAGGTAGTGAAAGAGAAAAATGTACACTAGTTTGTGAGAGAAAAATTTCTTCATAACAATGCTGAAGGTTTTTTGTTCAACTACAACTATTCACTAGCGATGTATGCAAAAACTTTCTATTCTAAATCGGTTCTTGTTGGTTCTGTTCACAATCTAAGTTTATGTTTAAATTTCTGTTCAGTTGAACCATTGTATTTGCTTTTTGGCCCGTACTTCAGCGGTAAATAGACATTTGTACATAAAAACGAACAACTACAAAGACGACAAAGGAAAAATTTCGAACAACGAAAGACAACAGGCAGAAGAAGTAGTAGTGGTTCGATTAACAATCACTTGGATTAATTCCTGGGAGCCTGGTTCAATACTTTCATGGCGGTTGCATCCCTTTGCTGTTACTATCACTGCCGCCTGCATAAAACTGAAAAAAACAAGATTCGTAACATACAAAGTGTAAAACGAATCAATTCACGAGAGATTTAGAGTTTGATTAGACGGCTTGTTCACTGATCTTTTTTTTCTAAAGTTCGGGCTTGATCTGAATACATCACCATAGCAGCAATTATCCTTGTAAATTATCAAAAGAAGCCAGTTCCAGTAGTGAAAATTCATCATTAGAACAATTTTTTCAAAATCGTCAAACTTCACGTCTTTTGGTATGCTATTCAACTAGTTTTCAGAAAAAAAGTTTTTCGGCGTTCATGAGATCCCTCTTTGCCGTGAAAACTTTTGAAAAATTTGGGAATGCATCTTTGGAAATAGTGAGTCGACTGTTTTGTTCAGAATTTCACACTGATTCCGAATATCTATGATTTATCTTCCAACTTTGGGTATCAGAAAGTGGCCTTAACCGCCTCCCTCCTTTTTGTGCGTAGAAGAGAAAAACAAAACTCAAATTTCTATCGAGTACACTCTGCAAAAAAAGTGACTTTTGTTTGGAAAAGTCGATAATGTTAACTAGTAGAATTTACATGTTCTAAAAGCTGACTGTTAATGTTATCGATTCATCAAAAATGTTTTTGCCGTTGGTATTAGTTATTAAAGAACGGCAGTGTTTTCCCAGCGACGTGTATTTTTCTTAAAGTATATGCTACGTATAATAATTGTTCCGTCTAGACCCTAAGCTAAAAAGTAATTTTTCTCAAGAATGAAACACAATGTAAAAAAACTAAATGATACTGTGAAAGCTTGTGTTTCAGGGGTTCTAATGTTGTACGACACTTGGCTTTATCTCTTCGTACAAAAAACTAGATCGATTTGCAAAGTTGCATACCTAGTAGACGCTTTCGCAAGAACGGTACCGGACAGACCTTTAACTTCAAAATCAATCAAAGACCACTCTCATACTCAGTTTTTGATGGCGAATCGGGAAAAAACCTTTGAAAAAGTTTCCATAACAAAAAGGTTAAAAATTTGAATTTTTCTCAAATGAGGGTATTTTTTTCAATTTTTTACACCCTTCGAGTTTCTCCAATTTTTCTCGTTTAAAACATTGTCCGGCAAATTAAAAAGCACATATTCGTGGTCAGCATACCAAACTCTATCAAACGATGCATAGATATAAATAAAATAAAATCTGCTCCGTTTTTGCATTGTTGGCACTTAAGAAAAAAAAAGAAACTTTGAAAACATATTAGAAAATGTGCTGCATTCGAAAGATAACAAGGTAGAGTGCCTTTGTCGGACAAGAGCCTTTCTTATGTGGTTGGCAATATTAAACTTCTACCGCAAATGGATCTTTGAATAAAACATACGAATCAGTGTGTAGTCGGTGTTGATGATGACAAGTATGATATTCATTGCTACCGCTAAGCCTTTGTAGAATTTGTCATGAAAATCTGGCTCTGAAGCATTGGAAAAACTTTTTTCCAAATTCATTTCAGAATCCGTCAGTTTGCAGGCCAAATTGAGCCACGTAACTTTTCCAGAATTTGAGCCACTTCTTCCTTCTCTTTGACGTGGATGGTGGGAACAATTTGCTCCCAGAAGAAAGACATCAATTTTGGCATTTTCTGTCTCCAAAAAAAAGCATACACAATGGTATTCTGTTGTTATTAATGTTCTGAGCAATTCAGTTTAAATCACTGGTAAAAAAGCATTGTAGTTTCATTATATGTGATTATTTAGCGGTGAATTATCATTTACTAAAACATACCCTACAGTGAAACGGTGAAGTGAGCATATCTAACTTGTAAATATTGTCGGTAAAAAAAAGAATGGACTCGGATGTTTTTTGAATAACGTTTGACAGAAAAGTGGTAGATGCTTGTGGTCTTCACTAATCGAAAGCTAGGATCCA